TGCGTGCGTGCGCGCGTGCGTGTGTGTGTGTGTATGTGCGTGCGCGCGCGTGTGTGCATTCGTTTGTGTGTGCTTGCACTGCTTGGGTGTGTACGTGTGTCTATGCGTGCATTCGTTTGGGTGTGTGCGTGTGTGTGCGTTGGCATGTTATGGCCTTGCGTGGGTGGTACGTTGTGAGTGTGCGTATATATATGCTACGAGGCATGCACGCCGACGAGCACTCCTACTGGCTAGCAGCCGGCATAATAAACTCATTCGTTTACGGTTATGGTGCCTCTACGAGTATATATTTTCTGCTCGGTGTTTGCTCGGACACATTAACACAATGCCGTAATCGTATCGTCATGATAACGATTTATTTACACGTGTTTTTGTTGTTGGCGGCATCCCGGGTGTTTCTGTGTCGTTTCTGGTTTTGTGTTGTAATTATTTTGCGAGTGCGGCTTATAGTGCATGGGTATCTATGTTGTATCAATGAAGAGGTTATTGATGGTTCTGGTGATATGCTGATCAGGATTTCATGATGGCAGTGCATATATATCATATCATTTCTATAGGCTTTCATTAATGCAACTGCAAAAACGAAACGTAAATAATTTGCACTGTCTTTGATAGTGCAAATTATTATAAATATACACACATAGATCTGTTTGCCTCTCTGTGTGTGTGTGTGTGTGTGTGGATCTGTGTACTCATGCATATATATGTATACACAGATATGAGGGTAAATGATATATTTTGTTCCATTGACAGAAAGATAATATTTGCATTATATTTATATCATACAATAATGCCTATTTTACATGATGCCGTACTTCATGCTTAGTGCATGCTATCTTGTTTTCTTTCACAGTTTGGTTTAGTGGAGACGCTACTAGAGGGCATTACTGATCACCTGCAGATGTGGGTGCATAACACTCTGCACTACCATGAGGTTCTGGTCTTGCTGACCTGCTTTACCCTCTATGTATTCGGCATGCCGTTTGTGACGAACGTACGTACCCGCAAAAAGCAATGTCGTAGGCATTCAGCTTTCTCTATGGCACTTGTTTTTCCTGCACAGCACTGTGCTGTTCACTTGTTGTGACACGTCGATGTTTCATTGTTTCCGATAGGGAGCCATTGTCTTATTTTGTACGAAGAGCAGTTTTTTCTGCTTTTGCGATGCGACTGCGCTTCTTTGTTATAGACAGGTCGTCGTTCTCATATTTGCTATGCAGTTCCGTTCCCATGCTCTTGTGACGCGACTATGTTCACTTGTTTCTGATGCGACTACGTTCACTTGTTTCTGACGTAACTACGTTCACTTGTTTCTGACGCGACTACGTTCACTTGTTTCTGACGTAACTACGTTCACTTGTTTCTGACGCGACTACGTTCACTTGTTTCTGACGCGGTGGCGTTATCTTGTTCGGCAGGCCGGCGTCTACATCGTGCAGTTTGTCGACGTCTTTGTCGCTGAGAACGCTGTGCTGCTGCTGGCTGTCGCTGAGATGCTCGTCCTCGCGTGGGGCTTCGGTGAGTCGTGCGCCGGCGCCACCTGGTGGGGGGAACGGCGGGTGGGAACAGGGAGTCTGTCTTTTGTTAGGGTAGTAGATTTCACCAGCCCAATAACACGTGCTGGGATAATTATATATGTATGTGTGTGTTTGTGTTTGTGCGTGCGTGCATGCGTGTATGTATGTATAAATATATTAGTAAATTCATATAACGTACGTATATCTTTTTCATGTTTAGGGTATAAAAAGTTGCGCGTTGTCGTGACAACCATCATGGATGGGAAGGGGCCGCCCATGTTCTTCATCGTCTGCTGGCTTGTCGTCTCTCCGCTGTTGCTCATGGTAAGCAGGGTTCGCCGTCTGAGAAAACCACAGGGCCTAAAAAAGGCCCCGTCATTTACTCGACGGGGCCGATTTTCTCTAGACTGGGCTTTTGTTAAACTGATGAATTATGTAATAAAAGCTATGAAATCTCAAAATTTGACGGGGCCGTAAAAAAAGCCCCGTGGACACTGGAGACGGGCCAAAAGGCAAAGCCTGATGGTAGGTGTTTACGGGCGGTAGCTGCGGCCACGCATGTGCGCGTGTGCAACTCAGATGTTAAGTCTAAGTATGGAGCACGATACACGTGGTTGTTGAGTGATTGCCATTCTATCCATCACTTCTTGCGTTAGTATATATCTCTTTGTGGTGAGACATGAATGCTCAAAGTAATCCTATCTGTGGGTGGCATGATTGCCAGGCAGTTCTGTCTAGTCATTGTGATGGGGCATTCTAAAAACACTGCTAAGTGACAAAGTGCCGCACAGTGGCCACTCTTGCATATGAACTGGCATAGATCTTCACACACTCTTACATACATGCTAGAATAGAGATTTACATATTCTTATGTACATACTAGAATACACCTTCACACACTCTTACATACATTCTGGCTTAGAGCTTCACACACTATAACTCACATGCTGCCATAGACCTTTGCACACTCCTGTATATATGGCTGGCATACATCTTCAGGTTATCTGGATCATGAGTCTGGTACAACATTCCCCGCTGGAGTACAATGGTGATTCAAGTTTCTACCCTGCCTGGGCAGAACCTCTAGGCTGGACGATCACCATCTTGCCACTGCTTTGCATTCCAGGGATGGCGATCATATACTATTATAAGAGGAGCATAGCATATAGCCGAAAGGTAGGGACAAGCTTGACGAAGTCATTGTATGTGTCAGTTTTTGACGATTCCCTTACAGTTTATGCTATTTGATGCTATTTTTACTATGCTGTTACCATTTTTATGCCATGCTACTTTCATACACCAGGACATTTCATGTAGGTGGGGGGAGGTAAACACCAGGACATTTCATGTAGGTGGGGGGAGGGAAACACCAGGACATTTCATGTAGGTAGGGGGAGGGAGAAACCAGACATTTCATGTAGGTGGGGGGAGGGAGAAACCAGACATTTCATGTAGGTGGGGGGAGGGAGAAACCAGACATTTCATGTAGGTGTGGGGGGAGGGAGAAACCAGATATTTCATGTAGGTGTGGGGGGAGGGAGAAACCAGACATTTCATGTAGGTGTGGGGGGAGGTAAACACCAGGACATTTCATGTAGGTGTTGGGGAGGGAAACACCAGGACATTTCATGTAGGTGTGGGGGGAGGGAGAAACCAGACATTTCATGTAGGTGTGGGGGAGGAGTGTGGATGTACGAGTCATGACAGTGGTGTCGCTGTGAAGTATGTTTTCATCATCTGCTCATTGCTCTAACCATTATTGTTAAAAATCATGATATTTTGGATATCCATGTACGGCGTAAATGGATGTTGATGCGTAGTATACGTGCAAATGTGATTGAATGTTCATCTATTATATATAGTTAATTTATCTCGATTTTAATACTGCATGATTTCGGAAGTGTGCACTTAAAAATGCAATTTGATGAATTTCACGTGATAAATGTAACGGTATTTTCACCGCAGTTCTATGGTAAGCGTAAAATCTAACAGGGCGTGATGTATAGTTTGTTTATATTATATTCAGATTGTTAATTATATATTTAATTTAATCTATATTCCTCGATATTTTCTTCTCTTTCATGTATTGCAGGATGCTCAGGGTAGGTAAAGTAAGGCATGGTTAATGCGTGACGAAATCAAACATGGCCGCTATTAGGCAGCTGGCTCTCGCCGTGTTGTAATAGCGCAT